CGTGATCCCTTCTCCTCCGTTCTCCTCTCGGGATCTTGGGCACGCACGCACACGTGCCTGGCGTGAGTTTTAAGCCACCGAATCCGGGACACGAACCGCGGTCAACTATGTGGGAGTCCAGCGACGTAGCCATTACGCCAACTGCTGGTCCCTGAAATTTATTTTAATATAGGTTTTTTTTTTTTAGTCTCCTGATGGGGCATGTGTGCACATGAGAGAGAAGCACCCTCTACAGGGCTCAGTCATGCCTCAATCCCCTTCCTCTAGTCCTGTAGTCCATGAGGATCCTGGGCACATACATGCAGGCTGACTGGGCTGGAGACTTGGGCCATAATTCTTTTCTTTCTAGACAAGATCTTGCTATGTTGCCCAGGCCAGCCTCGAGCTCAAGATCCTTCTGCCTCAGTCACTGGGTTACAGGCTCCCCAAACCACACATGACCTTTAGGTTGGGAATTGAACTCAGGCCCGTGTCAGCCTACAGAGCAGTGTCTTAGCAGTATGGCCACAGTCGCTGGGCCAAAATTCTATTTTAATGAATTGGAATTGAAACAGCCACATGTGGCCATGGCTCCCTTATCAGGAAGTGTAGCTCTCCTTCGAAGGTTCACTCTAGCGAGGACTCGGAGGGACTAGGGGGAGGTCCCACAGTGGGTCCCCCACCCATTCTTCCCATGCCTGACTGGCCCTTCCTGAACTTGCTTTCCCCTCATCTCTCTCCTCTCCATGCAATGCCTCAGTCCTCTGGGTAGGCATCTCGTTCGTGGGCTTCTGCTTCCTGGCCAACCAGTGGCAGCACTCACCACCCAAACAATTCCTCCTGGGGAACAGCAGTGCCAAGGCCGCCATCACCTTCACTTTCTTCTCCATCCTTGCCTGGGTGAGAATGTGCCCCTCCAACCCCCGTACCCTCCAAGGACCAGGGTGGGAGGGCTAGAACATTCCCGCTTTTAGTTAGCTCTCCTGGGGCTCAAGGGTAGGGGGTTTTCTCAAGGCTTCTGCTGGTCCCTTCCAGGTTCCCCTTCCTCTAAGAAGCCACAGCCCAGCTTCAGGATTTGTCAAGACCAGATGTCTTTGGGTAGTGAGTGGTTGGCATAGCTGTTACCAGTCTCCCGGCCCAGGCCCCCTCTTCCCTGCCCAGCCCAAGCCAGCCTTCAGCATGCCCTTTTCTGCCCACAGATAGCCCAGGCCTACCTGGCTTTCCGGGATCTCCAAAATGATGCTCCAGTCCCCTACAAGCGCTCCCTGGATGAGGGTGGTGTGGTGCTGACCACCCTCTCCCCACCCTCCGCCACCAGCCCTGTCAACACACCTGTCACTGGCCCCAACAGCCTGAGTTACAGCAGCTCTGCCCTGTCCCCCTATCTGGCCACTCCAAAGGCCCCTCGCCTCGCAATGATGCCTGACAGCTAAACATCCTCACCCACATCAGTAAAGAGAATCCTCCCTCCAGAAGGGTTTCTGAAAACAGCCCTCTCATGTCTGTTGTTCTCTGGTCTCTCGAGGGCCAGAGGTGGGGAGAAATCCCACAAGGTCACCTCCAGGTCTCTGCACTGAGTCACATTTCTGTACCACCTCCTGGACCCTTCACCTGGATACCACCTTGATAGCAGTGGATTAGAGGCATGAAGGAAACATCTGTTCCAAATCTATTCCACTCTAAGTTCTTCAAGTCATTACCGCCTGGCACAGGAGATGACACAAGGCACCCAGTGTACAGTTGAGGAAGCTCAAGTTCAGAGTGAGAAAATACTTCCATTCCGTGGAGAGCACACCAATAAGAATCAGACCAATATGGTCCCCGCCCTGCAACCAAAGTCCAACCCCTCCACTTCCCAGTGACAAAAGACTTACCTTAAAATCATGCTGTGAGAAGCTGGTGAGGAATAGGCCTCCAAGTCTATGAGATTCAAGAGGTCTTTATCTTCAGATATAACTTAAAAACCATCTTGAGGGAGAAGGAGGGATTTTCATTCTAGAACCCAGTGGTAATCAGGGACTAGTGCATAGGCCACAATGTGCCTGCCTGTAGGCATTGGGCTGGTAACCCCAGTGGGCAAAGCACTTACTAAGGAGATGGTGGACACGGGGCTGTGTCTAGGAGAGGCAGCCTCCACTCAGCATCTACCATTCAGCAACGAGGCCTGGGGTTTCTAGAGCAGCACTGTCCAGTGAAATCTAATAGGAGCCCCAGTGAGGGGAGTTTTGAATGGCCTGGTAGACACATTAAGAATGAAACCAGTGCAATTAATTTTAATGTTTTATTTCACCCAGTATAGCCAAAATATTATTTCAACATGTAACCCACATAAAAATTACTAGTGAGGTAGTTTACAATCTTTCATACTATGTTTTCAAAATTCAAAACCCATCGTGTATTTATACCCACTGTGTACCCCAATTCACTCACTGCATTTGAATGCTCAATGGTCATATGTAATCATATTGGACAGTGCGGCTCTAGAACCTTCTCTTTTTTCTAGGATATTGGGCATCAGTTTTGTTGGGTTGTTTGTTTTTTGTTTTTATTTTATTTTATTTTATTTTATTTATTTATTTTGCATAATGCGTGCTAAAGGGTGCGTCCACTTGCCAGAGACAGAAAGCGAGAAATCACCCCCCGGGGGGGATGGCCACGCCGCAATCCCTTCTCCTCCATTCTCCACTTAGAATCTTGGGCACATACGCACAGGCGCCCGGTGTGAGTTTAAGCCACCAGGTCCAGCGGCATAGCCATTACACCATCTGCTGGTCCCCTGTTGGGTTTTTTAATATGAAATTCTTGGGCAACAATTTTTTCATAATGCAAACATCACACAGGACAAACACACCCACACAGGGACCACAAAGAGCCTGTAGAGCATTGATTTGCAAATGGGACAAAGGGGTATGAGTTGTGGGAGGTCAAAGGTGGTTCCAATGGTCCCTATTTTTATTTTACCAAAGGGTGCATTGCATGCACTGGAAAGAGGGAGAAGGGAAAGCATCCCCAATGTGGCATGGTCATGCTACAATCCCTTTTCTCCCTCCTGTCAGGATTTTGGACACACACACCAAACATGCTTCCCAAGTTGTCAGTGGCAGGATCTGAACCACGGTCGGCCATGTGGGATCCAGCTCACCTTAGCCACTAGGCTCAAGGCCAGCCGCATTGGTCTTTTTCTTTTTTTTTTTTTTTCCCTTGAGGTCTCCTATGTGGCAGGCTTGGTTCTGGAGGTACAGAAATGTCGTTTCCTGTGGGTATCTAGAGGTGAGAAGCATTCTGACGTGGGAAATGGAGGCACTTGGGCTCTGGTCCTCAGTCTGTCACTAGCTGCATTACCAGGGTGTGTCACTTGTGCTGCACTGACTGTAAAACTAGCCAATCAGACCAGCTGTAGATGGCCGCTTTTCAGGCTGTGTTCAGAAAGGTGCCCTAGGGCTGCGCAGGCAGGGACACCAGCACCCACACCACAGTCAACCTAAGCAGCCCTGCCCCTGTGTTTTTCATTTTAGGTTTCCACACAAAATTCTAAACACAAGGTCCCTTTGCTTAAAAGAAATGTTAAAAAGATCTGAAAAACCACAGCACAGTGGTTAAACACACAGGCTGTGGCATCAGGAAACCCAGGAACAAACCCTACCTTTGCTGCTCACACCCTTAAGCCTCAGTTTCTTCATCCACAAAATGCCCCATCTTTAGGGATGCTGGGAGGATCAGGAGAGCTCATTAGCGTCCTGTCCGCTACCTGGCACATGTTAGGTGCCCAGGAAACGCCAGTCCCTGCCTCCCGAAGCTCCCAGCACCATCCTATGGGTGCTCTGGAGGCAGGTACTGGATATTAGGAAGGTCTTAAGAGGACACATAGGAAGTTTAAATCGAAGCCTGACTTACAAAAGCCAGACAGGTAACAGAAGTGAAGGAAATAAAACAGGCCAGTGTGAAGTCTTCCAGGTGGCTGGAAACAGGAAAGTAACTCACTTGCCATTTAACACAGCAAACCAAACCAAACCACATAGTGTCAGCCCATCATAAATGTTGACAACCCAGAAGCCAAGTCCTGGGGACTTTGGTGAAAAGCTCCCATCCCATCCATTCAGATCCAGCCATCTGTTACCACCCAGAAATGAGGACCCAGTGTTGTCAGACTGACAGATTTTTTTTCAAGAGAAGCCAGAAAGTCAGACTTTATTGTGAAAATCTGGTTTATAAAGGCTGGCAACCCATTCCTTTTTTTTTTTTTTTTTTTTTTTTTTAGAAAACATGGAATGGTTGGACAAAATGCCAAAGGGTGGGATGGGAACTGCCCACAGGCAGCCTCTGACAGACATCCACGCTCTTGAGAGTCCTCTGTAACCTCAAAAGTCTGGAGAACTGGCAGGCTAGTTCTGTGCCAAGCAAAAAAGAATCTTTCAGATTTTCTCCAAAACCTCTTCCCTGGCAGAGCCATGAGGAATTAGGGTGCAGCTGAGCATCTTAGAAAACTAGACTCTCATCTTCTGCTCCTCCCAGGCCTCTGGGTGCCTGCAGATGGTCAAAGGCAGAGGCAGAGGGGGGGCCAGACAGGACCCCACATATGCCAAAGGAGGGGCAAGGAGGAGCACAAGAGAGGTATCATTTTCCTCTGTTTATTTCAAGAGAACGAAGGATCAATCATCAATTCTGTACAAAAACATGGCGTCAGGGCCATGGTGACACACGGGCCTGCCCCCCTCCCACCCCAAGCCCCTTGCCCCCTAAATTGCCAAAAAAAAAAAAAAAAAAAAACAGGCCCTTGGTTCATAAAAAAAAAAAAACCAAAAAAAAAAAAAAAAACAGGACAAGACCAAAAACCCAAACTCTGGAAAAAATTATTATGAAAAATGAGGGGAGACCTTCTTGGGCCTCCCTCCCTCCCCCCAAACCAGAAATGTTGGAGGGGGCCATGTTTGTGCCACAGCAGGAGGTCAGGCAGGTGGGTGTCGGTAGATGTAGTGTTTGGCAACCAGAGGGGCTGGGGGTGAGATCTGGGAGGGAGCCAAGGGGCTTGGGGAAGGGAAAGACCTCCGACCCTACCCAGGCCCGTAGGACACACAAAAACAGTTTATAAAAATCGGGGCCAGAGAATAGAAGAGAAAAGCGTCATTAGAATCAAAAACTAAATAGTGGAAAGATTTTTTTTCTTCTCTAAAAGGCAAAAAACTACAAACAGCCCAGGTCCTGAGCTCCCCAAAACATGGGTTCTCCACTGCCCCCCCACAACCCGGCAGGAGGGGGGACGGGGAGCGGGGAGAGCTTGGTTCTTTAAAAAAGTCACCCCTGGCTGGGAAGGCTCTTCGTCTGTGCTGCCTGCCTCCCGCCGCCGCTGCCGTTGCAGCTGCTGAGGACAGGGATGGCAGGGACCAGGGCTATGCCGGCAAACTCAGCTTCTTCCCCTTCAGTACTGTCAGGAGAGAAAGGGGGGAGGGTATCAGCACTGGGGTCCCAGGAAGGGGACAGCGTCCCATACCCAGAGCAGGGGACTGTGTGCTAGACAGGCAGACCTGGGGGAGGTGGGGACAGGACTCTGGATCGTGAACAGGGTACAAAGTCTGAACCATTGAGGGGCTGGGGCCAGGGGACCGAATCATGGGGGAAGGCCAAGAGGAGACACACCCCCTTTCTCCCCTTCCACCCTTGAATAACCCTCTGCTGAAGACCCTGGATCTCTGAGCAAGGCAGGTGGAGGGTCAGACTGGGCTAGCTGGTGGGACCCCGCACTCCCAGATCTAAGCCTTCCTCATGGGTGGTGGGAACTGCCTCCACAGTCCAGTCTTCATGACCTCTCCCTCTCACACACCAACTCCTGCGCAGCCGGGTCTCTGCTAAATGCCAAAGGCACAGGCCTCCTGGCCCGAGGACAGGGACTCCTGGCCCTGCAGTTACCACTGCGGTCCCTGGTTGACTCTCACTTCTCACTACCCGCAGCTTTCCTTCCTCGCTCGGTCAGTCTCCATCTCCCCACCAGCTTCAAGGGGAAGGAGGGGCTTCATCCTTCACTCTTCCTACTACGTCCCAGAGCCAGCCCCAGCTAGAGACATGGAAAGGGCTCAGCGGACTTGTTAAATGAAGAAATAAGTTACTGACTCTCAGTGGGCCTGAGGATGAGCACAGACAAGGAGGTCCTCCCCTCTGGGACTAGGAGGTGGGGATTCTGGATTTCGGACAGGTGTGAGATTGAGAACCTATGGATCTGGAACCTCAGAGCCGGAGAGGAGCTCAGGACAGATTTTGAGAGGAGACGTGAGAAGCCAGCCTCACCACAACCTGTCCCTTCCTCCCCCCAAACCCTCATGGGCTGGAGAAAAGGATGCCCAGTCTTTGTGGTGGATGGAGCAGGAGGCTCAAACCGCGGCAGGAACCACAGACTGTTGTTGAGGCCAAGGACAGGGGTTGGAGGTCTGAATTCCCAGGAGGAGTGGGCCTGGGACCTGGCAGCTGGGAGAGGAAGTCCTCCCCGAGTGACAGGCTGGGAGTCAGGCAGACCCCAGGCCCCAGGGAGGGTGAGGGCTCTGGGACGCGTAGGCTCTCCCAGCCGGCCTACATTCTGGTTACCTTTGGTGATGTAGAGGTAGAAGAAGTCGCAGTAGAGGACTGTCTGGACCAGGCCTGCCACAATGGCGATGAGGTCAAAGAAGCCCTCGAAGTGGTAGCGCCAGATCCAGTTGAAGAGATAGAGCGTGCGGTAGACGCCCAGGGCGAACAAGTAGTGGCTGGTGATGGTCTCCGCCTCGCCCGTCTTGCTCACCATGAACAGCTGTGGCAAGATGGCCACTGACTCCAGGTAGATGGAGAAGGTCCAGAGGATCTGCAGAGAGTGGGGGTGGAGGATAGGATGAGTCAGGAGGGGATGGGACAGGAGGGAAGGCAAAGAGCAGCACTGCAGTGACAGAGCGGCCAAGTGGGAGAAGCCAGAATCCAGGCACGTAGGTGTTACCAGTTCCTCATTTAATAGCCTCAGAGGGTCCCAGGAGGGAGAAAGCAGCATGAGCATCCCTGGTCTACAGACCAGGAGACCCAGGCTCAGAGAAAACGAGATACTCGCCCAAGACCATGCAGCCAGGCAGGGATTCGAACCGGCGGTTCAGAGTCAGTGCTCAAGCGCATTCTGCAATTACACCTCTCTAAAGGCAGACCATGGCCAGCTCAAGCATGGTGGCAAAGGCAGCTGGATCCCAACTGGAGTCCCAGACCCGGCAGCTCGAGAAACATGCTGAGCACATGTGCATGTGAGCCCAGAATCCCAAAAGGAAGGCGAGATGGAGAAGGGATTGTGAGGTGGCCATCCCCCGTGGGGGTGCCTTTGCACCTTCCTTCTCTCTGGCTCTTTCCAGCAAGTGCATACACCCTCTGACAAAAACTTAAACAAAAAAACAGGCACTGCTTCACACTGGCTGAAGCTTTAACTCTAGGAGGTAAGTCCTAATGTTATCACCATCAGTCAGAGGAAAAAACTGAGCCCAGGGAATAGTCCCACACGGCTGATCGCAGTTCCAATCCTGGACCTGGCAGCTTGCTTTCTCACTTTCCTTCTCTGTCTCTCTCTTGTCAAACAAAACAATGATGATACATAAAATTAAATAATTTTTTTATAAAGAACTATTTAACTTTCTTTCTTTCTTTCTTTCTTTATTCATTCATTTATTTTAATTCGACCAGAGAGGGACAGAGTGAGAGAAAAAGTGAGAAAGCAAGCCGCCAGGTCTAGGACTCAAACCGTGGTCAGCCATGTGGGGATCTGCGCCTTCAACCACCACACTATCTGCTGGCTGACAGCCCCATAAATAATTCTTAAAAAATGAAAAAAGGTAGACTAGGTTGGACTGGGCCCATAGCCTGGTGGTTAAGGGAGCTGGATCCCACTACTGTTTAAAAAAGACACCAGGCACATATGTATATGGACCCGAAATCCCAACAAGATGGAGACATGGAGGAGAAAGGATTGCAGTGTGGCCATGCCCCACTGGGGAATGCTTTCTCCATCTCCCTCTAACAAGTACACACACCCACTGGTGACCAAAAAATAATAATAAATAGGGGCCACCAGGTGGCATGATATTTAATATGGCTGGACTCCCATATGGCTGGCCACAGTTCAAGCCCCAGACCCAGTGGCTTGAGAATCATGCCTGGCCTGTGCATGTGCATACCCAAAAACCCAAGAGGAAAATGGAGAAGGGATTGCAATGTGGCCTTCTCCCAGGGGGGTGATTTCTCACTTTCCCTCTCTGTCTCTCTCCAGTAAGGGCACAGGCCCTATAGCAAAATCTTAAATAATAGCAGACCTGGGGCTGGATCCCACATGGCTGAACCCATGGTTAGAGTCCCATGTCCAGCAGCTTGAGAAACGCACCAGATGCATGTATGTGAATGACCAAGATCCCAAGAGGGGAATGGAAGAGAAGGGACTGCAGTGCCACCCTAAGAGTGATTTCTCACTTTCCCTTTTGCCCTCTTACTGCCTCTCTCCAGTGAGCGTGTGCACCCTATAGCAAAACTACATTTTAAAAGGCAGATCTGACTGCAATCCTGGCTCTAAATTTCCCCTTGGGCAGGAAACCCAGATTCTCCAAGTCCCTGCTTTTGGATCTCTGCAACGGGAATGACTTCCCCACTCTCGCGGGGCATCATCACTGTGTAATCTCCAAGACATAAACCAGACTGCCATTCACCAGCTTAAAATCTTCCAGTGGCATCTTCCTATTGCAACCAGAATACAGGCCCAGCACCTGACTACGGCCGTGGCCTTCACTCCTGCACAGTCCCGCCTCTCCCCTTGCTCTCTGCTACAGCCACTCAGGCCTCTTGTCACCTCCCGAGAGAGGCCTTCTCTGACCACTCCTCCCTTGTCACAGAACCCTGCCATCCTGTGCTCTCACCAGAACCTGAGCTCTCTGAGGCCTGGGATCTCACGTCTCATTCGCCCTATGACCCCGACCCCAGCACAACTCCTGAGTGAATGAGTGAATGAATGAATGCTGACCATCACCTCCACGTGGTCAGCATGGGCCATCATTAAAGTTACAGTGCGACTGTCATTCACGAGCAGGATGGGACATCACAGAAGGAGGTGTGGACGGCAGGTATCTGCCAGCCGTTTTCAGACCCCAGCTCCCTGAAACTCCCAGCTGGGGCGATTCACGCTCTGAGAAACACACTGAAACCTGCTCTCAGGAACAAAGGGCAGGTGTCAGGTGTGGCTCCTCCTCAGCTGTTCTGGCTTGTGGAAGGGAAGCGAGGGCCACCAGGATGTATTTATAGCAGCTCACACACATTTACCGTCCAAGACACTGCTTCACACACCTTAGGGTGTTAACTGGCAGAAGCCTTAACCCCAGGAGGTAAGTCCTATTGTTACCACCATTAGACAGAGGAATTGCACCAGGCTCACCCAGGAATCCTCGAGGGAGGCTCGTACCCAGCAAGGTTAGTGGAGACTCTGAAAAATGCACCCACTAAATTGATACACACCCAACTTTTACCGTGGAGTTTCTCTTGGGAAACAGAATCATGGCATAGGAAGAGACAGAAAGTCTGTTGCATGTTACCTTACTTTATGACATCTAAATTTTTTAAAGAATTATTTATTGGGCCAGCAGATGGCATAGCAGATACGTTGCTGGACTGCCACATGGCTAACAGTGGTTTGAGTCCTGGACCTGGTGCCTTGAAACTCACACTGGGCACGTGTATGCATGCCTAAGATCCTGGGAGGAAAACAGAGAAGGGACTGTGGTGTGGCCGTTGCTGCTGGGAGGGTGATTTCTCACTTTCCCTCTCACTGTCTCTGCCTCTCTCTCTCTCTGGTAGGCACACATGCCCTAAGGCAAAAACCTCTTTAAAAAATAATAAAAGAATTATTTAACTTTATTATCTTTTTTTAAGAGATATTTGGGCATGTACTTAATTTTTAAAAATTATTTTTATTTAACTTTATCTATTTATTTTTCAATTTGACCAGAGAGGAGAAACAGAGTGAGGGAGAGCAAGAAAGAGAGTAAGAAAGCAGGTCGCCAGGTCCAGGACTCAAACCGTGGTTGGCCATGTGGGAATCTGGTGCCTTTAACCACCAAGCCACCTGCTAACACCACAAAGCCACCTGCTAGCCCCCACCCCCCTTTTCTTAAGAGGTTTGTGCCTTTGGGTACATGCATGGGGGTTGGGGGGGCACAGAGACAATAAGGGGGAAAGTGCTAAATCACCCACCAGGGGAATGGCCACACGGCAATCCCTTCACTTTCTCACTAGGATCTTGGACACACATGCACATGCACCCAGCATAAGTGTCAAGCCACCAGGTCTGAGACTCGAACGGTGGCTGGCCATGTGAGAGTTCAATGACACAACTGCTATGCCATTTGCTTGGCCCCATCATCATTATTATTTTTTAATTTGCTATAGGACACACGTGCTCACCATAGAGAGAAAGTCACCAGGTCTGGGACTCGAATTGTGACCAGCCATGTGGGAGTCCAGCGCCTTAATCACCACACTACCTGCTGGCCCTGATATCTGAATTTTTAAAGAAGCATGTTTTCCTTCTATGCTTAAAAAAATCACTTTTTAGCATGCACCAGTTAAGACCATGGGCTTTGGAAGCAAGCAGATCTGACCTCAGATCCTGAAACCTCTCCCCTCAAGCCTCACCTTAGTTTTCTGACAAACAGGAAGAGGATGCCCATTTCCCAGGGTGGCCAAGAGACCAGACAGGACGCTGATGTACTAGAATGGCTTGCTTGGGCTGTGCATACCGTCAGTGCCAATATTTTGCACTGATGGCCTCCTCTTTCTGGAGGAAGGAACCACAAAGACTGGAGTCGAGAGGCCTGGGTTGTTCAGCATCTTGCCCCTTGAACTACCTCCCTCCGCCTCAGTCAGTCTTCTCACCCACAATATGGGTCTATAAAGTAGCTGGAAAAATCATGATGTATTTTTCTGATTTTCTAATCAAAAATGGGTCATGCCTTCTCTGACAACCTAACAGTAGTCCCTATTTAGCAGAGTGGTTATAAGGAAGTCAAGAGCGTGGGCAAGTACCCTATGCAAGGTGACAACAATGATGTTTGCAAAATCCAGGGCCTGGAGCCCAGCCCAGGGCTCCTGATGCAGCTTGCTGCAGCCTCCCTCTGTCTCTGGGGACGCAGGGGCTATAGTCACCCCTATCAGATTTGTCTGGCTTGCACAGTGCTTTTAGAAATATGTTTTGGGGCCAGCCAGTGGCATGGAGGTTAGAGCAGAATCCCACAAGGCAACTGCATGGTTCAAGTTCCAGACCCAATGGTTTGAAAAACACACTGGGGGCCACCAGGTGATGTGGTGGTTAAGGGAGCTGGATTCCCACATGGTTGACCACGGTTCAAATCCTGTACCTGTCGGCTTGCTTTCTCACTTTCCCTTTCTCTCTCTGGTCAAATTAAAAAATAATAATAATAACAAATGGAATTAAATAAATAAATTTTTTAGAAAGTAAAAGAAAAACATAGACATGCATATATGCCCAAAATCCCAAAAGGAGAAATGGAGGAGAAGGGATTGTGGCATGGCCGTCCCCAATGGCCACTCCTCCTGGTCTCCATCTTCCTCCAGCGAGTACACATGCCCTCTATAGCAAGTTAAAAAAAAAAAATGTATTTGAATCTGTGGTCCAAATTTTAAAATGAGATCTTGCCTGAAAACTCCCGAATTGTGGCTTCTATTGAAAACACCACCACAGAGACCAGCTGATGGTGTAATAGTTACGTTGCTGGATTCGACGAAGTCAATCGCACTTTGAGTTCTGGACCCAGTGGCTTAAAAACTCATACCAGGGACCAGCAGATGGTGTGATGATTATATCATGGACTCCCATGTAGTCAACCGCAGTTCGAGTCCCGGACCTGGTGGCTTAAAACTCACTCTGGGCATGTGTACCCAAAATCCTGAGTGGAGAATGGAGAAGGGATTGCAGCATGGTCATCCTTCTGGGGGCTGATTTCTCACTTTCTGTCTGTCTCTCCAGCAAGTGCACATGCCCTACAGCAAAAAATTTCTCTAAAAAAACAACTCATGCCAGGTGTGCGTGCGTGCCCAAGATCCTGACTAGAGAATGGAGAAGAAGGGATTGCAGCATAGCCATGCCCCCGGGGGGTGATTTCTCACTTTCTATCTCTCCGGCAAAGGCACATGCCCTATAGCAAAAATCTCTTATAAAAATAAAAAAGAAAAAGAAAACAAAAGCACATCTAGCCTCCAAGAGCTACCTTCCCACAAGGCAGGAGACAGCTAAGGAAGGAGAGATTGTTCTGAATTTGTGATTCATGCCAGACCCCAGGAGGCATGAGACTGCAGACTTAGCACTGGCCCTCCCGAAACTCCTCCCAGGAACTTGTACAGGTTCTACCAAAATGTCATGGAATAAAAAGCATGACAGCTGGGGCCAGCAAGTGGCATGGTGGTTGAAGACATGGCCGACCACAGTTCGAGTCCTGGACTTGGTGGTTTGCTTTCTTACTTTCCCTCCCCCACACCTCACTCTGTCCCGCTCTGGTCAAATTAAAAAAAAAAAAAAAAAAGTTAAATTAAAAAAAAATCGTGACAGCTAATATATAGAAACAAAAGTATCAGGCCTGGCACTAAACTATAGCCATTGGAGAAACGGTGACATAGTACTTCCTACCCCTGCTTTGGAAATATCAGCCCCTAGGTGTGCTGTGGCGGTTAAGGCACTGGATTCCACATGACTGACTCTGCGGTTGGCCCAGACCCAGTGGCTTAAAAATCATGCTGGCCATGTGGGCGTGCATGCCTAAAATGCCAAGAGGAGAATGGAGGAGAAGGGCTTGCAATGTGGCCATCCCCCCTGCAGGGTGATCTCTCATTTTCTCTCTCTTTCTGTGTCTGTCTCCAGTGAGTACACATACCGTATAGCAAAAAAGAAAAAACCTAAAAAACTAAAGAAAAAAAAAAGGCCCCTTGTTAGAGCCCTATGAGGTAGGAAATGATTATCCTCATTTTATAGGAAAAGAAACTGAGGCTCAGAGAAGCTCCATGACTTGCCCAAAGTCCCCCAGCAGCCAAATGCTAAAGGCAGCATTAAATTCCTGTGCTCTGGTTCTACGGCCTATGCGTGTTCAGCTACCAGCAACACTACAACATTTCAGGAAATCTTCACAGTGACCTGATCATGACTTTACAAATGGGAAAACTGAGGCACAGAGCAGTCGGGTCACATCCCCAGGGCCACACTGGTAGTAAGTTGCAGGTTTGTGGGACCAGCAGATGGTGTAAGGGTAACACTGCCGGACTCTCACACAGTCAACTACAGTTCAAGTCCCGGACCTGGCAGCTTCAAACTCACACAAGGCACATGTGCGTGCATGGCCAAAATCCCAAGGGGAGAATGGAGAAGGGATTGCGGCATGGCCATCCCTCTGATTTCTTGCTTTCTATTTCTCTGTCTCTCCAGCAAGCACACGTGCCCTATAGCAAAAATCTCTTAAAAATAAAAAATTAAAAAAAAAAAAAAAAAAAAAGGTGAAAAAATTAAAAAAAAAAAAAAAAGGTGCAGATCTAGATCCAAGCAGTCTGGCTCAGACCCCTATTCCTAGGCCCTGAGCTAGCCAGTCTTGTGTTTACTGGGTGACCTTGAACGAGTCACTTGATGCCCTACGCCTGTCTCCTCATCTATAAAGCGGGGCTGCTGTCAAAGGTAATGAGTTAATGCACTGAAATGCTTAGAGCAGCGTCTGGCCAAGGACTCGGTGCTCCTGCGGTAGTGTTAATATCACCTGACTCCAGGCCCCGTGTGCTGAACCTCTGTGTCCTAAAAAAAGGAAGTCTGAGTGAACTCTGCAAAAGGAAGCTCTTGAGAAGGGCCTGTTGTCAACAGGCATCCCACTGTCACGGCCCATCCACCTCCTACGCAGGTGGCCTACCTCTAGAGGCGTGAAGTCATGGTTGACCAGGAACGCCAGGATGGCCGTGGGAACGACGAGAAACTCCACCCGGAACGTGTCGTGGTTTCCATCATAAGTGGCTTTGAACTTACTATAAATCATCCAGACCGTGGTGAAGGAGCAGGCTATGTAGACCACCTGAGGAGGAGGATGAGAGGGCTGCCAGGTTGTACAGAGCAGGGCTGCCCTAACAGGCTCAAGAGTCTAGAAGGAAGCGTCCTCCCTCTTGCACCCAGGAGTCCAGCATCTGTCCTCCTCCCTCAGACCCAGGGGTCCATGGCCTCAGACCCAGGGGTCCACGGCCCCAGACCCTGGAGACCAAGCCCAGACTTTCCTCCCTCAAGCCCAGGAGTTCAACCCCATCCCCTCCTCAGACCCAGGAATCCAGGCCCCCAGACACCCTTCTTCCAGACCCAAAAGTCTAGCCTCACCCCTCCTCCCCAGACCCTGGAGTCCAGCCCCAGCCCCTCCTCCCCAGACCCAGGGCTCCAGGACCCAGACCGAGGCATCCAGCCCGATTCCCTCTCCCCTCCTCCCTCAGGCTCCAGGACTCGGGACACGGGACACCCGGGACTTCCGGGACCCTCGACACTCGGGGCAACTTTTCCCCCCCAGATCCACTCCTGCCTTGTAAGGAGTCCTCATCATGCAGCCCACCCCTAGTATTTTCAGCCTCCAGACCCAGGAATTCCAACCCCAGCCCCTTTGATCTCAGGCCTGCTCCTCCCCCAGGGGGCCCAGGCGGGGTGGAGCCTTTACCTTCATGCACGTGTTGTAGAGGGAGATGTAGTTGGTGAAGAGGTCCAGGTAGCGGGCAGTGAACACCACGGCGAACAGCACCTGGCTCTTCCCCGAAATCCCTGTGGTCCAGACAGAGTGCGTGGGCAGCTGCGGGTGGGCCGCAGGGGCGACAAACCAAAGCGCGGCGCCCGGGCCAGCCAGGGGCAGATCTGGACTGCAGCTGTCCCCGGAGGCCTCCCCGCCCGCCCCGCTGAGCAGGGCCGTTTCCCACGGCCCACCGACAGGGGG